GATTGCTCTTGAAACCCAAAACCGCACGTGCGGCTGTGAGTCCCGCACGTGCGGTCATCGAACCAAAACAAGGCTGAACATACTAAAATAACCACACATGCAGCACCTTTCGCACGATGTTTTCAACCTTTCGGACATCTCTATGCATAGATGAAGAACAATTGGGAATTAAAAGATACTTGGAAACCGACGGTAACTAATCTAAATGAATAGAGGAAATTGAAATTAATTTGAACGCTTTTGTTTTATCAAATTGTGTATGTGCTTTCTATAGGTTGGACCACCAAGGATTAGCATCCGATCAAGTTATTGTGAGTAATGTCTTTGTAATGATATTTTTGTATAAATGGTTTTGGAAATGCTATAATATGCAATATTTGACAAAATTTGTATTTTGTTTTCGAAATTGTTAGGTCTATCCCACATCAACTCGGGAGGGACTCCTCATCTACCTTATAAGCGTACTGGTCCCCTCCATCTGTCAACAAGCCTTTTCCCCTCTTCTAGGTGGAGGAACAAAACCATGTGGGGGCAAGCTCGCAATGTCCCAACCCCAAAGCGGACAATATGTTGACACACCACGAGGGACCAGGCACGTGCATTGGCGCTAGAAGGAGGGCCTCCGGCAAACTCTCTCGCTGTTCGCGGCCCAGTTTGCTGGGGGGTTATGTTGGGTCTATCCCACATCGACTCGTGAGGGACTCCTCGTCTACCTTATAAGTGTACTGGCGCCCTCTATCTGTCAACAGGCATTTTCCCCTCTTCCAGGGGGAGGAACAAAACCGTGAGGGGGCAAGCTCACAACGGCCCAACCCCAAAGCAGACAATATGAGGAGTCCCTCCTGAGTTGATGTGGGATAGACCCAACAAAACCCCCCAGCGGACTAGGCCGCGAACAGCGGGAGAGTTTGCCGGAGGCCCTCCTTCTAGTGCCACTGCACGTGCCTGGTCCCTCGCGGTGTGTCAACATATTGTCCGCTCTAGGGTTGGGCCGCTGCGAGCTTGCTCCCTCACGGTTTTGTTCCTCCCCATGGAAGAGGGGAAAAGGCCTGTTGACAAATAAAGGGGGCCAGTACGCTTATAAGGTAGACAAAAGAGTCCCTCCCGGGTCAATGTGGGATAGACCCAACATAACCCCCCAACAGACTAGGCCGCGAACAGCGGGAGAGTTTGTTGGAGGCCTTCCTTCTAGCGCCAATGCACGTGCCTGATCCCTTGCGGTGTGTCAACATATTGTCCACTTTGGGGTTGGGCCGCTGCGAGCTTGCCCCCTCACGATTTTGTTCTTCACCCTGGAAGAGGGAAAAAGGCCTGTTGACAAATGGAGGGGGCCAATACGCTTATAAGGTAGATGAGGAGTCCCTCCTGAGTTGATGTGGGATAGACCCAACATAACCCCCCAGCGGACTGGGCCGCAAACAACGGGAGAGTTTGCCGGAGGCCCTCCTTCTAGCGCCAATGCACGTGTCTGGTCCCTCAGGGTGTGTCAACATATTGTCCGCTTTGGGGTTGGGCCGCTACAAGCTTGCCCCCTCACGGTTTTGTTCCTTCCCCTAGAAGAGGGGAAATGGCCTGTTGACAGATGAAGGGGGCCAGTACGCTTATAAGGTAGACGAGGAGTCCCTCCAGAGTCGATGTGGGATAAACCCAACAGAAATGTTCCGATATGATAAGTATTTTCTGAAATGATAAGACATGCTATGGAACTCCGAAATGTTTATGATATGATAAGTTTTCCAAAATTATGTTTTTGATAAGAATAAATGAGATTCCTTTTTGATTATTTAACGCGACATCCATAAACATATGCTTTGATCTTTGGAAACTTCCATCATGTCTTCGACTTGTCATAGACGTTCGACATATGTTATTGATTCGTTATAAACGTTCTGAATGATATCAATCTTTGATGGTCATTATGCATGGCTCCGATCATGTATGATCATTCTGTATGGCTTCATTGTTTTATGGGCGTTCTATATGTAATCGACCCGTTATAGACGTTATGTATGTTTTCGTTCCAATGTGGACATTCTGTATAAGCTCGGCCAATATGGACATTCTGTATGTTTTTGAACCTTTGAGGTTGTTCTGTCGAACTTTATTCTGTTTATTTCGTATGATGCTATTGAATGTACCACGTAATGTGTTTAATTATGAAAGGTTTGATGAACCTTATGTATTATAAATATATCTAAAAAGATGTTTTGATCATGTTAAGAATATTGTTTTTATAAAGTTCTTGATCTCATTCATTTAACCTCTTTACATTGACATTATTCATTGAGCTTCTAGCTCACCCCCTTCCCTATATATGTAGGTGAGCATCTGGAAGATTTGCATTAGAGTTTGCTTTGGAGTCAACTTTTTTGTGAAGACCATCCGAAGAAGTGCCTCCGTGTTGAGGCTTTAACTTTTGTTTTTGGCCAAGCTTTTTTAAGCTTTATTTTGTTAAGTTTTGTAAAGCTTTAGCTCTGTCAAGTTTTGTTAAGTCATGTATGTGATATTGAATTGTATATAAGATAAATGTTTGTATATATTATAAGTGTGTTGATAAATGTTTTGAGTATTTCGGTTTATATCATATATGCACAGCTTAATGGACAATATTATTTCTGTTTTTGCTTCCGCTTTAGGCCCCGATATTTAATAAATATTTTGTGATTTGATTAAGATGCCATAGGTAATCTATGATTACTAGCCGATCATTTCCCTAACCTCTAGGAGTGGGTTGGAGTCGTGACACATTCGGATCCATAGCTTTTTAGCTCGAGTTATTAAGCTCGTAAGAGTGTCTTCACACCTAGGGCCCTAAAAAGGCTATGGATCCGAAGGTTGGAATTGCTCTAAGAAAATATTCCAGCAGCTATTTGACATCCCAAGGATTATAATGTGAAATTGGTGCATTGTTAGCTCATAACTGTATAATGTACACGCATTATCAATTAATTTTTTTTTTTTTTTGTTGGAACGATAGGTATATATAGAATCAACGAAGAGGAGGGGGTACATCAACACTAATAAGAGCAGCAAGAGCTACAGGTGGGTTAGCCACCCAATCCAAAGGCAAAAGATTACAAGCATAGGTTTGTGCAACCCAATTAGCAACCTGGTTGTTTTGTCCGGTAGTCCACTTTAGAAGCAAGTTTTCCACTCTGACCAGGTGGCGAATATCTAGCAAAATTGCCAAACCTTCCCACGGAGGCACTGTTTCACCCACTCCCAGTTGGATAACTTCTTTACAGTCACTTTCAACAATGGTAGAATTCAAATCGCAGGCTTGGGCCATCATAGTCACCATCCTCACTACATGTGCTTCAGCGACAAAGGCAGATGAAGCTGGAAACAAGGAGACTAACCCATCAATAACACGACCTGCTGAATCTCTCATAATAGCAACAGCGGTTGCTATGGTTCTGCGTTTGTTAAAACTTGCATCACAGTTAATTTTGCACTCCCCAGAAGGTGCAGGTTGCCAGCCTTGGGCCTCCACCAACGCTGGAGCTGGTGTATCAATGTGAGTAGAGTGGCCTTTTTGATAGTGTGCTTGGTACTCATTCCACCCCTGTGTTATTTTCACAATGGTATCCATGGGATTAATAGGGAATTGATTGAATAAAAAAAATGTTTCTCGCTTTCCAAATATACCACCCAATAAAAACACTCTTGCTAAGTATCAATTCCTGGTCATCATTCTGGCGCATGGGTTTCATCCACTAAGTTGTCCAATGTGCTACATTCACCACAGACCCTTTTTCAATTCTAATATTCACACGCATTATCAATTAATTTTTTTTTTTTTTTTTTGGGAAAATAGGTATATATATAGAATCAACGAAGAGGAGGGGGTACATCAACACTAATAAGAGCAGCAAGAGCTGCAGGTGGGTTAGCCACCCAATCCAAAGGCAAAAGATTACAAGCATAGGTTTGTGCAACCCAATTAGCAACCTGGTTGTTTTGTCCGGTAGTCCACTTTAGAAGCAAGTTTTCCACTCTGACCAGGTGGCGAATATCTAGCAAAATTGCCAAACCTTCCCACGGAGGCGCTGTTTCACCCACTCCTAGTTGGATAACTTCTTTACAGTCACTTTCAACAATGGTAGAATTCAAATCGCAGGCTTGGGCCATCATAGTCGCCATCCTCACTACATGTGCTTCAGCGACAAAGGCAGATGAAGCTGGAAACGAGGAGACTAACCCATCAATAACACGACCTGCTGAATCTCTCATAATAGCAACAGCGGTTGCTATGGTTCTGCGTTTGTTAGAACTTGCATCACAGTTAATTTTGCACTCCCCAGAAGGTGCAGGTTGCCAACCTTGGGCCTCCACCAACGCTGGAGCTGGTGCATCAGTGTGAGCAGAGTGGCCTTTTTGACAGTGTGCTTGGTACTCATTCCACCCGTGTTATTTTGGCAATGGTATCCATGGGATTAATAGGGACTTGATTGAATAAAAAAGCGTTTCTCGCTTTCCAGATATACCACCCAATAAAAACACTCTCGCTAATTATCAAATCCTGGTCATCATTCTAGCGCATGGGTTTCATCCACTGAGTTGTCCAATGTGCTACATTCACCACAAACCCTTTTTCAATTCTAATATTCAGTAGACTTCCGAACCACACAGCTTGAGTCCATGGGCAATCAAATAACAGATGTTCCACTGATTCATCATCCTTCAAGCAAACAGGGCATACCTTAGATGGTGAGCATCGTCGTCGATGGAGATTAACCTTAGAAGACAAAAGATTCTTACAAGCCCGCCACCAAAAGTGCTTGAGCTTGGTAGGGGCGTTAATGGACCACAAATGCTTCCAGAACCCTTCAGAAAGTTGAAAAGAGCTAGATGGTTGGGACGGAGAGCTCAGATGCATGTACGTCTTAGCCACCCAGTAGCCAGATGCATTATCAATTAATTAGATCAACAAAAACTGAAATTCAACAAAGTATATGTTATATGTGGAAACAAATAGATTTATATCAGCATGCCATAAATAAATAAAAATTCCAAAGAGAGTCAGAATTTACTGAATACAATTAGTAATGATATTCATATTCACAACCCTTTAATCTGTTTTTTTTCTAGTCAGAAAATGACTGTCCGGCCAGAAACATATAATCATAGGTTACCACCACCGGTAAAGCCACTATTATTCTTATCGTTACAAAAAAATTGCAAAACACTGCCCACCCCGACACCAGGAACCAAAAATAAATGATCCAAGAGCCAAGCTTTATCTAGCCAAGGAGGAGAAAAAAAAATGTAATTAAACAGAACCTTTTTCCTTTTGGGAGTAAAAAAATATGCAGGAGAACCACTGCTACATTTTCTTGATGTCGTATAACTCAGTATTCTTATGTAACCTACATACAACTCGAGCAGATAGAATGGGATATCAGCTCAGAATTAGGGGAAGAAGAGTTTAATCTGATACTTGTTCAGCTAGCCAATAACCATGTCGTCCCCAGCTTGAGCTGCAACTTCTTCAAGTCTCTTCCACATCAACTCGCGTTGCTCCTCCAATTCTCTGGACCTGGCTTCTCTCTCAGCGTACTGCTGATCACACTCTTCAAACAGCTCTGCATCCATATCCAGGAACATTTTTCGGACATTGGCAGTCAGCCCATGAACCGCCTGGTTCCAGTGGCCCTCTATGTTCTTCTCCAATGCTTCAAAGATGAGTGGCAAAATTACTTGTCGGTTCTGGGCAATCAAGCCCACTATGTGTTCATTGTTCCACAAGTAGAGCGCTCGTTCTGCTACCTGTCATGTACTTTTGACTTAGAAACAGCTCATACAGCTTACATAGTGCATTTGTGTAATGTCACAATGAAAATTGAAGAAACAAACCATGAACACCATACCACAATGGGAACAAAGACATATCTGAGCAAGTAAAAAACACAAGATCATATATTTAGTTCCAAGTAGCTCCTTATCACACAAGAAAGATAGCTGATAATGTTAAAAAAAAAAATTGAAGAAAATGACTAAGCACAGGTTGAACTCTGCCTATGGCTGCATTGGAGCCCAGGTGTAGTGATAAATGAACGAGGGTTAGCTAGGGCGTTTCCCCAAGTGACATGCCACGTTGGTGCTCAGGTGTGGCAAGAAGTAAATGTACAATAATGGGTAGAGAAGCTAGTCCATAACAGTAAGAAAAGCTTAGGAACTTGGAAAATAAGAACAATAACAAAGAAATGTCTGGAACTAGTGGATACTATGATTAGAAGGAAAATCAATCTTATTTGTTTACAAGAAACTAAATGGGTAAGGAAAAAATCTGGGAAAATAGAAAGAGTACAATATGGACTCCAGTATTCTGGAAAAGAGAAACATGGGAATGGAGAAGGGACAATTGTAGACAAAAATTTTAAAGTTGTAAAGGATCAAAGTAAATAAACTAAAGTGAACCAATCAAAACTAAGTCTAGTCCCATTCCAGTGGGGTCAGCTACATGAATCACTTTTTCCCATTCTGCTCTGCCAAGGATTTAGTTTTATTTCATATTAGGATTCATGTTCATAAGAAATTTGACGGGAATTTTACAAATCACTGTCAAGCTACTTAACACACAATCCTCCTTATCCAAGCTTGGGACAGGCTGTATAAAAACAATAAGCAGGGCACAAGCAGAGTTATTAAAATAAAATGAGATAGAATAATATTGGAAGAGACACTAAATATGAGTTATTAAAAGAAGATAGAATAATATTGAAAGAGAGACTAAATATAATTAGTGCTTAGGAGCCTCAAATAGGAATTAAGATGAATCTAGTAAGCCACAAATTTGGGAGCATTTGGACGGATTAGTACAAGGGATATCAAAGCGGAGAGAGTTTTTATAGGCAATCATGTTAATGACCATATGAGGAGATATAGTGGGGATGAGATTTTGGATATGGAGAGAGAAATGACAAAGGTAATGTTATCCTAGAGTTTGCAATGACATATAACTTTGTGATAGCAAAGACATGCTTTAAGAAGCAGGAAGAACAATTAATAACATTTAAAAGTGGAACCAATATTAGCCAAATAGATTTCTTTCTAATTAGTAGAGATAATAGAGGAACCCGTACGGATTATAAACTAATAATAGGAGAGTCTAATTACACAATGTAGGTTAATGATATGAGATGAATGTATCAAGGAGTGGAAGAGGAAGAGAAAAGGAAGTAGGTAACCAAGAATCAGACAGTGGAACTTATAATGTGAACATTTAGCACTCTTTAAGAACATAATGATTAAAGAAGGAAAATGGACTTCGAATGAGAAAACTAATCCTATGTAATGTGAGATGGCCATGAGCATTAAAGAAACAAATAGCAAAAGAGGTTCTTGGTGAATCTAACAGAAGTGAGTCACCATCTAAAGAAACTTAATGCCCAAATGAAGAGGTTTAAAAAGCAATTAAAACAAAAGGAGACTGTCAAAAAGCTTTTATACATGTATGAATAACAAAATTTCAAAAAGATATAAAGAATGCTAGTTAAGAAAGATGAAATCAAGGAATGGTATGGGAGTCACTTTTAAAAACTATTTAATGAAAACCACTCAAGAAACTTAAGTTTAAAAGAACTTGATAACTCTAGTAGTAATATATATACTACAAGTAATATTAGTTATAAATACTTTGCAAAATTAGAGTAGTGGAGGTAAAAGAGGCTACACGACATTCCCACTGAAGTTTGGATGTGTTTAAGTAACGAATAGTTTTTCTACTAATTTGTTTAATAAGGATCTTAAATTTTAAAAAAAGGCTTGATGAAAGAGTAAAAGCACACTAGTTCCAATATACAAGAACAAAAGTAATATTTAAACTTGCACTAATTATTGTGGTAATAAATTATGTGTCATATAATAAACTTTACAAGAGTAATTGTGCTGAGATAAAGACATGAAACAACTGCTTTGAAAAAGTAACTTGGTTTATGATTGAGAGATCTATTATGAAATTTATTTGAGAAAGATGGTAGAATATTTAGAACTTCAGATGCTTTAGAATGAAAACAAGGGCCAAAGAGAAACAAAGGAGAACAAGTTCTACAACTCTATCACCAAAATTAATGGATTCTTATGTTTCAGTCTTCTGTAACTCCAGAAGAAAGAAGAATTATTGTTTATACTCAGTTGCATTTAATTCAGCTCTTCTAAAAAATCAATTCTTCTTGCCAAGAATTTTGACAACAAATTGGGATTAAATTTGTAAGCAGACAATGCAAACTGGACCACCTTTGTTTTGTTTGATTTTGTAGTTCGAAGTTAATTCTTCCAAGTAGTAAGGCAGTAAATGTCTTCAGCCTATAGGTATCAACTCACAAATAATCATAACAAATGCACCTAATGCCGCACAGTAGGAAAACTGGCCTTGATCGCATTAGTGCACAAATGAGCAGATAAAGTTTAAGGAAAATTCAGGGAAAAAGAAAAGCAATAGAGCAAATGGTTGGACAAACGCATACACACAACTCACAATTCAAAATTCTTTTCAAAACTCACAATTCAAAACTTTTTTCAAAACTTATAACCAAACAAATTTTTTCTTTTCAAAACTCATTTCAAAAGTTTAATTTTAAAATTTAAAATACAATTCAAAACTCAAATTATAATTTAAAAACTAAACCAAATGAACCTTAATTGCTGTGTTGACAAATGGTCTACTACGCAACACATGAAATGAAAGTAAAAAGTAACATATATATATGTACATATTAGAGGTCAAATATGGTTGAACAAGTCAACATGTAAAACAAAATAAAATACAAAGATACACAAGTTTGAATGATACCGGTTGAAGGAAAAAATTCTGAATATGTCCAAAAATTATATCCTCTTAACCAAATAAATTTTCTTTTTTCAAAACTCATTTCAAAAATTCAAAACTCAAAATACAACTCAAAACTCAAATTATGATTCAAAAACTAAACCAAACCGAGCCATTATTTTTCCTATTCCTTATATGCATTTCACTACTTTGGCAACGTCACATTTTAGCCAAAAAAGTCACCACAAGTTGTCAGATCATTCTCTCTATTTTACTGCACATCTTTTCGTAAAAAGTCAAAAAATTACTAAAATAGTCTATTTCCAAACGAGACTTAATTTTCTTCTAGTTCATGTACACACTTAACCTTGAGCTAACAATTGGTAAGTGGGAATATTATTTTCCTAAACGGTAGAGATTGTAGATGCATTTTACTAATTTCTTCTGCTTCATGTACATGCAATTAAATCTCAAGCTAACAATTGATGAAAAATATTCATTTAACCTACTTTCAAAATTCAAAAACAACTCAGATAAAAAACATAAAGCCTCACTCAAAAGATGGAAAGCAGAAATTGAAGTACAAAAGTCACCCCTTGGGGGGGTGAGTAGGAAAGAAAAACATAGAAATTAACAAACTGGTAAGTTGCCAAATCAAAATTGTTCATATAAAACATAAATAAATGTGCAAAGTATAAAACATCAAGAAGATAAGAAAAAGCTTATCAAAAAGCATAAAACATAAACAGGTAGCAATAAAGTGGACGATCACATATGACCTGCAGTCCTCTAACAACATACACATAGCCTCTCAATTTGCATTCGTAAAACTCAATGTGAAAACATTTTGATTGTTTCTTCAAAGAATGAACTAAAAAACTATAATCTCTAAGAAACCTAAAATAAAAGGAGGCCGCCTTAAGGCATTATCCTGCTCTCACTCTCATTCTTTCAGCAAATCAAACTAGTTGCTTATTGACCTGAATAAGTTACCTGAACTATATTCATATAAAGAAAAAGAAAAAAATGTTAACTGCAGGGGATCAAACAATCCATCAATCTGTAAAAGAATGGCAATGATAAACTCATCCAACAACATGCATGGATGCCTAGAAGGGGAATAATATAACAGCAGCTAAAGTACATGTAACATTCTCAAACCTGGAAATGCGGGCTGATGAGGCAACGCCGAATCTGTCTGAAAAGAGGAACCATGCAGCGTTGGAATTCTTCGGTCAGTGTAGCTTCCAAAACTTCTTCTAATTCTCCAAGAAAGAGAACCTCTTTCCCACAATTAGTGACTGGCCAGTACTTCAATAACCCCATAATGACAGTATCTGCCAACTTATAATCCTTCTCAACAAACTGGATAATGCAGTAAGATAATTGTTGATGATATGAGGCAACACATTTCGGCTTGTGGAGTGGTATAAGTGCCCGAACAAGGAATAACTTATGCTCCTCTTTCATCGGCAACGCAAACCCATTTATTATACTTCCAAGAATCTCTAACAATTCACCAATCCCACTATGCCTCTCCGTTTCAAATATGAACCGGTAGAAGATATTATTTATTGCCTTCCTTATAAATGGGCGATGAACCATGAATTTTCCGTAGATACGATGCAGAATAGTCTTCAAATACTCCCGCTCTCGTGGATCCTCGGAATCAAACAAATCAAGCAATTTCACTACAAATGAGTGATCAATATATCGTTTTGCGACCTTGGTGTCCAACTCAGTTGACACAACATATCTCAAAAGCAACTCATACACAAGTTGCAAGTGAATCCACGAAGGCTCGAAAAAAGCGTCATCCTCATCCGGTTCATCAATTTCGGTCGCACTATTTTCATGGGTTGCCGGGGGTAAACACCGAAAAATATTCACCGAAATCATCCGAACCAACTCTTCTTGTAGAGTTTCGTTCAACTTACACCACCCTGTCTGCACCAATTCAATCAACTCCGCAAGGGTTTGTCTCTTTATCTCCTTCTCACGAGCCGACTTCAACGGGTCGGAGAAATCAAAGGTAAAGCAACAAATTTTAAGCTTACGGATGAAAACAACGTGACGGTCCATCAACGGGACGTCCTTCAACATGGGCAAGATTTCAACCACACCAGAAGTGGGTGGAGCAGACACAGATACAAGTTGTGAGTTGGAATTGGAAGCCGAAGGCCCAACGGCGGAGCGGGAAGCATGATTCACGGTCACACTCGGTTGGGGGTTCGATGTGGGGGGTTCAATGGCTTCCGATTTGGGGACCTTACGCTGTCCACGTTTGATGAATTTGTTCAACATGATTGGGACTATTTTACTCTCTAACACTAACCCTAGACTAATCTTTTTTTTCTTTTTTTTTAATTGTATGTGCTTATCGTTCTATGCAATGATCATCGGAGCGATTGATCAAACAATTGAAACCCTAGAAATCGATCGGTGTACGAAGTAAATACAGATATATGTGCGTGTGTGTGTGTATATATATCTATATATATAGAGAGAGAGAGAGAGAGAGAGAGAGAGAGAGAGATAATTTTTTTAATTTTTATAAAAAAAAATATTATAATTTAAATATAATATTTTATCTCATTAATTTTTTAATTTATTTTATTTTTTTGCTCTCAAATCCTTAACCTAGAACTTTTCATTTATATTTTACATAGTAATTTCTAATATTGTTAACTTTTAAAATAAAAAGTTCAACAAATGAAAATAAATAAAGAGATATAGATTAACATGGATTTCAAGGACTATATGATGACTACCAATAAAATTTAAAATAGCCAACCTCCTTTTTTCCCCAAGAAAAATCAATTGATTGCTTTTAAAGTATTCATTGGATAAGAATAACTATTCTTGACAATTTGAATCTTATTTTGTTTCTATCTTTATTTTGTTTAATTTGATATAGTTAAATTATTGGGCATTCTGTTCATAAAATTTGAATTTTCTTTCTCCAAAAATTCATAGTATGAAATATTAGGCTTATAAGGATAAGTTCTCGCAAAATGACCAAAATACCCTTTTACCATCTCTGTCTTTCACGCGTTTTATTTCTCTCTCTCACACTCCTTTGATCTCTCTCTCTCTCTCTCTGGTTCTAGGGTTTGATCTCACAATACCAATCCATCCACCTCCATACTCATCAAAACCTTAACCAGTCAAACTTCATGTTGACCAACAACAACAACAACAACAACTACCACCACATCAACGACAACAAGAAGAAGGTGACGCATAGTGTAACAAATCCCGAACTATGATTAGCTACTAAACCGTGATTAAGAATGCTTAATGAGTAATTAAGATGAAATTTTGAATTAATTGCATGTATATTGCATTATTTGTGTTTATTTACTGTAGGAATATCTGTTTGTGTTTCTATTTTATTATGCGAATTAAAGGTCTTATCGGCATTCGATCACGAAATTAACTTGATTTATGTGTTATTTGGAATTTTTAAAATTTTATGGTAGGTTTGATTGAAATTCGATTCGGAGCGATTAAATTAGAATAATTAATGTCCATTTGATTAACTTTAACTAATCACCATTAATCAAGCATATATAAGGCTTAAGTTGATTATAGAGCATCACTCACATTCTCATTTTACCATATTTGAGACTTCAAACATATAGAGAGAGGGACTAAGAGAGAATTGAGTGCAAACAAAGGAATTAGCTTGGAATTCAAGGATTTGGTTTGGAATCTTAGTGAATTCACCATCTAGAGCTTGATTGAGAAGTTGAGGTAAGGATTCAACACTTAGATTGTATAACCATGGTATTTAGGACATGAATTCTAGAGGATTAAGTAGAGTTATGCAAGAATTGAGCTAGTAATGTAGAGAAGATGAACATGTCATACATGCATGTGCATTTCATGGATTTTGGGTGTTGATTTCAACAAATTCATATATACAAGGACTTATTTTTGTTCAATTATAGGAGCTCATTGTGGTTTTGTACTTTAACACTCCATTTGTATATGTTTTGGAAGGTTTGAGTTCTTGACAACACATGCATGATATATACACATATGGTTCAGGTTTGGTTTTGAAGAATTCACTTGCTTTTGGGCCTTGATTTTGTGTAATGAACCTTAATTCATGGTGTTTTATAAGTTTACAAGTGTTTTCTCAAGTTTTGGGACCCAAAGTTGTGTTTTGCAGTTTTGAATTTAAGTTTTGGACTTAGAACATCAATCTGGAAATTTTAGAATTCTGCTTCACCGCTCAAACGACCACTCTTGATTTTGCACTTCCGCTCGAGCGAGAAAAAGTGTGCTCGAACATAAAATGCATGCTCGTAGAAGTTTACATATTTTGCAGACTGCTCGAGCAATTAGAGTTACGCTCGAGCAAAGACCTCAGTCTCACGTTCGAGCGTGCGTCGAGCGAAAAAATCAAGCAACCAATACTTTTGCAAAGTTTACAGATCGCTCGAGCGACTGAAGTTGTACTCGAGCGACCACTCTTATTGTTATACCTCCGCTCGAGCAAAGGAAGTTGCATTCGAGCAAAGACCCTGTTTTTAGCTAATTTGATTAAGTGCTTTAAATCACATTTTGGCATCCTCATTATATCTTAGGCATTCTTAAGCTCTAATTAAGAAATAATAATGAAGATAAGACTTAGAAACACACTAAGAACAAAATACTATAAGTTAAGTACTATCTGAGTATGTGTTTCAATATATGTATCTGTTATGTTTGTGTAGGTCACACGTCGTATGCCATCTAATTTGTCTGTTTTGTCTGTCTGCTTTCGGAGCCATCTGTGAGTAATAACTTAGTAAAGCTATATTCAACTTTATTTATTTTCTGTATAATAAAATGAGATCTGTTTTCTGAAATGTTATGTTCTGTACAATGAATAATTGTCCAATTTCTAACAATGTATCTGTGGCATTCTTAGCATATCTGTTAGCTGTTACCTGGTATCGGATGTTCTATTATGGAACTTAATATGTCTGTAATCTATTACCCATACCAGAGGCTTCATTATGGAGCTCAGCATATCTATTCTCTGTTACCTAGATCCGGAGGTTCCTTTTATGGAACTGGTTATACATAACTACCATCTGTTCTGCATATGTTCTGTATCTGTTTGTAACTGTTTTGTTAACGCTAATGGATGTACCACATATGATTAAGTATGAACTCTAATTGCTGTATAAGAATATGAATCTGTTTCTGATATGAAATATGTTTTCTGAATCTAATAAGGGACATCATTCAATTAAAACCCTTTACTCTATTATTGTTCATTGGGCTCCTGCTCATTCTATTATTCTATGTATGTATATGATCCAGTGAGTGTTCAGGCTTAATAGTGGCAGCCAGAAGATTTGTTTGTGTTAGCTAACCCTTGTGCCTCCCGATGAGGTTCCGAAAGTCATGTAGTCATGTTTTGTGAACGTATAAGACTTTGTTTTCTTTTTGGAATATGAACAAGTTTTCTGTTTATTTGTATTTTGGGCTAAGTTCCCTTCTGGTTATATCTGTAATGAATGTGACATAAGACTACTGTAATTATGACATCACGCATATGTATATAAGTTTCGAAATTTCTGTCACATGTATATATACACAGCTCAATGGACTATGTATGTTCTATGCCTACTTCTGCTAGCCCCTTAATTACATGTTATTCTGTTCAAAGGTCTTTGGTAATCAAAGGATTATTAGCCAGTTACGACACTGAACCTATAGAGGCAGGTTTGGGTCGTAATGTTATGTTCTGTACAATGAATAATTGTCCAATTTCTAACAATGTATCCGTGGCATTCTTAGCATATATGTTAGCTGTTACCTAGTATCGGATGTTCTATTATGGAACTTAATATGTCTGCAATCTATTACCCATACCGGAGGCTTCATTATGGAACTCAGCATATCCATTCTCTGTTATCCGGATCCGGAGGTTCCTTTTATGGAACTGGTTATACATAACCACCATATATTCTGCATATGTTCTGTATCTGTTTGTAACTGTTTTGTATCTGTTTTGTTAACGTTAATGGATGTACCACATATGATTAAGCATGAACTCTAATTTCTGTATAAGAATATGAATCTGTTTCTGATATGAAATATGTTTTCCGTATCTGATATGGAACATCATTCAATTAAAAACCTTTACTCTGTTATTATTCACTAGGCTTCCGCTCACTCTATTACTTATGTATGTATGTAGGTGATTAGGCACATGGGCAGGCCCAATGATGATCGTCTGGGGCTCTGTTTTGTCGACCAACCCTTGTGCCTCCCGAGGAGGTTTCGAAAGTCATGTGGTCATGTTTTGTGAACATATAAGATTTTTTTTTTTTTTTTTTTTTTTTGGATTAGGAACAAATTTTCTGTTTATCTGTATATTGGGCTAAGTCCCCTTTTGGTTATATCTGTAATGAACGTGACATAAGACTACTATAATTATGACGTCACGTGTTTGTATATAAAGTTTTGAAATTTCTGTCCTATGCATCTCTACACAGCTCAATGGACGTTGTATTTTGTATATTTGCTTCCACAGCCCCTTATGTTATAAGATATTCATATCAGAGGCCTTTGATAATCCTAAGATTATTGGCCGGTTACGACGCTGAACCTATAGAGACAGGTTTGGATCGTGATACGTAAGGCACTAGTGATGGCAGATCGAAATGAAGATGAACACCATGGGTGTAGTGAAGGTTGGTAGAGTCTTTCTCTCTCTCTCTTTATTTCTTCGAACTTTGGGCACACCATTTTTTTCTTCCATTTTTGCAAAATCAGGGTCCCTCATCCGTAGGCTTCTTCTGCAAGCCTTCACGTGGTCTTCTCTTACCTCACGATATTAGGGTTTTTTATTACCTCGAGCTATAGAATCTATCGATCGATCTCCGAAAACACACGACCAATGTCATTGTGATGGGCCTCCATCCGAACTACTTCATCTCCCGTACCACCATCCATCACTCTAGCATCGCTACTTTCACCTTCCGCTCTAAGGCCTCCGTCGAGTCCACCATTGTCGCCTTTATCGATCTCTCATTTGGTATTATTCTCAATACCAAACCAATACACACATACACACACACACGCTCTGTTTTTGTCTCTATCTCTGTCTCTTTGATTTGTAATTTGGGGTTCAGATTAGGGTTTTGGTATTGCAAAAGGAGGTTTTGCAAAAGGAGAGTCCTAATTCGACTTCTTCGCCATTGTCGAAGCTAGTGAGAGGTGATGTGCTTCTTGACTCATGTGGCTCCTGAGATTATATTCTCTCTCCGGCGGCTCCAGTGGCCATTATCACGGCCATCCATTTCAATAGATCATAAGCTAAGTTCGTAGAGGGAGATGGAGAACAATTCACACAGCGAGGACACTAGTAGTCAATTTGCAGAATAACAATGTATTGTCATTTCCAATATGTGATGAAGACAGAGACACAACATCATTATCCATAGGAAAATGCTATAGATCCCAAATAATCTATCAAATTTTCTAACATCACTAGCATCACTCTTATCCATAAGCCAAGTAGGAAAATTAT